TCGGCTCACCAGTTAAGGGTTAAGGTAGGACCAGGATCGTTTGCTTTTTGAAAATATTCAATGGGATACATTTTATCATAGTCGACTGATTATATGTACTTTCGAACAATCAACTAATTATGGTGGTTTAATTGAGTTCAATACTTGTTTTTATTGCAGTAGAAATACTGTAATATTTCCTCGATATTTTTATTGTGAGACTGCAAAGTTTTATGAAATGTCTATGATGATTTATACGAAGAAATTTTTTTGGTATCATTATTCTATATTTTTGTCAAAGCGCATATTTAACAATGTAACCTAGAATATCGTACATAAAATAATTTTAATATGAAATTCTATAATAATATTCTACATATGGTGTCAATATAAAATCAGGTATAATTAATGACCAAAATTTCTGAAAAATCTGACAAAAAATGTCAGTAAATTGTGCACATTATAATAAAGACAATAAAAAAAATGTCAAAATCATGAATGAAACGACGAAGGGAAATGCAATAAGGGTTCGAACGAAAGAATGGTCCATTTATTTCGAAATAAACGATTAGACACGTGAGTTTTCCGTTGATAATCTGACCTCCACGTTAACAGCACAAATTTTATTTTCCTCCGATCTGATCGATACAGAATTGTACAATTTTTTCCCCATCGATCGTAATTACCGGCTTTGTTTGTTTCTTTGTTGCTGTCTTTTGTTTGTTCGTTTCTTTCAGCTTGTTCGATCACGCGAGGCCGAAATTTTCACACCAATAAAGTAACGCTTACATTGCACTTCATTACAGATTCAATAACATATATCTTCAATATATATATATATATATATTTATATATTTATATATTTATATATTTATATAATATAATATATATATAATAGGTATTTTTTTTTAAATATATTGTTGTATGTACAGAGGGCAGCTTGCCTAGTAGGTTTATAACGCCTGGCGAGGACTGAAGTAGTCGGACTGGACGCCATGCTTCTTTTTTTTTTGTTCGTGATAATTGACGCTAAAAATCGATGAACTCTTTCCTTCATTCCCTCGTATAATTCGCTACTTAACTTTTTAATAATTTATTTATCGTACACACTAAGTACCACCGATAAGAAATTCATTAATGTAATATTCTTTTTTGTGTTAAATTTAAGTGCAATTTAGTACCAATTTGTTGTACAGTGTTATTAATACATTAGAATTTCTATAGTTAAAAGAGGAGACATGGGAAACAATTAAAGAATTTTTTCTACCATTCTGTAATTAAGTAAATAATTTATAATACTGATACAAATAATTCTTTGTTGTATACGAATAGTATTATTTACATAACTACATACTGAATGGTGTTTCGTTAATTTAAATTCTTAAGTACCCATTGCCTTCGTCTTAATTGTGCTATAAGTGAAAAGGAAGAAACAGAAAATATTTGGAAAGTGTTAAATGTTCCTTGTACCATTTTTTAGCGATATTGTTATAAACAACTATTAATAAATAATGTAATTCTAATTATAATGAAAGTATAATATAATTCTTATAATAATAATAAAATAATATAAATTATACGACAATAGTGATTCGTTAAAAGTATTCCAAATGTAAACGTGGTCAATTTAAATTCTGCTTGAAACTGCTCTTTAGTCAATGCACTTTTTCGATCGTTATTAAAAGTTGTAAAACATTCTCCAATTAGCAAAAGAATCGTCGGATTTTTCCAACTAGTTTTCCCGCGTCTCGAAGATCTTCACGGAAATGAGGCAACGACGTGCACGGATCTGAACGCAAAATTATTGACCTGTTCCACTTACCGGAATTTCGCTTTTCTTGGTATCGATTGGCCAAGAATTTTCTACTTATTGTCACGCGAACGTTGAAGCTAAAAAAACGACGCAGTCAGTACTTTTTCCAACTGCATGATTTTCAACAGGTCCGACACATTTATTTTTTGCAATGAAAATCGTCAATTTTAATTATATCGAATGTGAAAGATAATGCTCAACTAATCTGTTAAAAAAAAATTATCATAATATTGGCTATTATTTTTGCAATAGAAATTGTATTATACTAATTCTTCACCTTAATAATTCTTCCTCAAAAATTCCGTAATATTCACCGAATTTTTGCAAATTAGAATTACAAAGAAGCATATTTTAATAAAATTTTCAAATTCGTAAATGAATCTTTCTAACACTAAGTTCATCGGCGATCCAATCGCCTCGAGAGAAGCGAAAGTCCCCAAAACGGCATCGCCTTTAAATTCTCTAGAATTTCGCCGATTTTCTCACCGTCCAGGTCGACGGTACCTCAGCCATCGCGACAATTCTATTTAACATCTCTGGTGCCCGAGCGTAATATGAGCCTCCGAGAGTCGAAAATTAACGTTGTGCATCAGGTCGACGTCGCCAAGGTTTCAGATTCGAACGGGAACAAATAAAAAATTGAACGAAAAAAAAAGTAAAAAAGAAAAGAAATTAGCTGGTATCGTCCAAAGGAAAATACCTCTGAGTTCGTCGAGACCAGTCGAAAAAGTGTAGATATCGCCTAAATAGGGTTCCTTCTAATCCGAACACCCTCTAAATGATGTGAACGCAGGGCTACATGGCTGTAGAAAGTGTAATCTCTTCACAGAAAATCAGTAACAAATGCGAATGAGGCGTCTATAGAGGTACGAACTAACTATACATCTTATTTCTTCGTTTCTTCTCCCTTCAAGGCGTCAGCATGAAATATTAGTCCGCGTTTCGTTCAAGTTCGACGATGTTTGACGGTGTTTGACTGTGTTTGACAGTATTTGACGGTGTTTGGTGGTGTTTGACGATGTTTGTCAGTCAAGTTCTCGTCGATCGGAAAATTCATCCATGATAATACCGTCCAAATAGTCCATGAAAAATAGTATTCCTTGTTTTATTCAAGTTTGACGATGTTTGATGATGTTTGACGGTGTTTGAAGATGTTTGCCAGTCGCGTACCCGTCAATTAGAAAATTCAAAGTCAAGTGCCCGTCGATCGGAAGATTCAAGTTTGACGATATTTGACAGTGTCTGACGGTGTCTAACCATGTTTGTCAGTTGCGCACCCGTCGATGAGAAGATTCGTCGACGAGAATACTGTTTGAATAGTCTGTGAAAAGTATTCGGCCGTGTGTTGTTTATGTTTGACGATGTTCGCTCGTGTTTGTTTAAACCCCGGTCCGCGCAAATCTCGTCAAACTACAGTTTTACTGGTCGTTGATCGGCGAAAGTTCGTCGATGGTCTTCGAAAGAGCTCGGCAGAATGCCTGAAATGAATCTTCCTGATTGTAAACTCGAATAAATCGTTAATCTGTGGCCAGGTTAAAATGAAGAAAAAATATATATATAAATAAAATGATGCTTCAACCTGCACGACGTTTCATTAAATACAACACAGATATATATTTCTTTCTTTGTTACCAGAGCTGCAATTGAACGCATAACATTTATTTGTCACATAAATTGCACGCTTGAACGCGTCCACGGCGCACTAAAGCCGCGTCTACACTTGAAGAAAAAAATTTCTTCGTGGAATCGAATTTACATCGGTGAGATGTGCGACGATCGTTTCGCTTCTTTATTTTTTAAATCACGTAGTATAATCGTGCTTTTCTGAACTTTTTTTTCTCAAGTGTACACGTGGCTTAAAACAGTTTCATCGAACATATTTTCGTCGATTCTTCTACCCGTGGATCGTCGAATATTCTCGGTTACGAGTCGAGGTGCGCTTGAAATCGTCAACAACAATCATTATCGAGCCGGCTGCGTTCCCTCGAAACCGTTTACAGCGATAAGAGATCCTTAATGGCGAACCAACCGATCCAGACGAAGAAAAATCGAGGAAGAGAAAACCATCGAAAACAGGTGGAGAACGATCGCGATCAGTTTGTTCTTGGAATCGTTTCGAGGGAACGTGACCGCTTGTTGAAACAATCCTCGGCCAGGAACATTGTTGCTGTCCGTCGATCCTCTCGCCACTGTAAAATATATATTATACTATATCACGGAACAAATTCTACTATAAGTTTCCCTTGCAATAATATACCCCTTTCTCCTCGATATGTTGCAGAACGATCGTGTTCTCGTCGATCCCCTTTTCATTATTGTCCAGCTGTCTTTGGAATCTCAAAGAAAATTTAACGATTTACATTCGAGAAATTATTCGTTTTTAACGACTGTTGGTAAAGCAGTGCGCTCCGTCGGTAGTGGCGAAAGGTATGTGCGACGCCATTATCTCGCCGAACGGCGCCAAATTCAAACTCTTCAGCAACTCTTGTTTTTTTTTTTTGTCAATACAGATTACAGATTTTTCACGTTCCTTTTGCCGCGATATCTCGGCTGGAAACTTGACGCGCGACTAATTTTTTCGCTCGAGCTTTCGTCGATTCTTCGATCTCTCCTAAACGTTACCCGTCGAACCCGAAATAAAGAACGACGTCTGCTCGCAATCCGACTCGGGATCAGCTCGGCGGCACCTCCGCGTAATCAGGCTACAACCGTCATACATATTTATACATGTATACAGGGTAAATCGCCTAAATTTCATCAGCCTGGTCGTTTTCACCCTCAGTGGAATCAATCATGGAGTCTATCGACTTGGATGACACGGTGAAAAGAGGCTTCTAGTTGGAATCGTTAATGCAATTCTCATGAATTACACGCGCACATTGAACCGTCACGTCGATTCGTTTTACATTTTAAAACTGATAGAAAAAAAAACATAAGAAGAATTCCTTTTCCTAAAGTTGGCAACATATGGTGTTTTGTGCACTCGGACCTCCTTTGCTGGCAAGCTAAAGAATACTTAAAATTGTTCTCAAAAAACTGAAAGATGATGTAATGTACGCTGTACATTGGTATCCTAACCGGTAAATAGCCTTGGCTCGTTGGGATACCATCATGGGGCTGAGTTTCATCCCTTAATCCCTTGAACACCTTGACCTACAGCTCTTTGCTCCTGGCCCTTCTTAAGAGGGTCAGAAAATTAACTCTCCGTGGACTTATGGTCAGTTTGATACATTACCTCCATAATTCATCACCCAGACCGGCTGATAGATCCCCGTGGATCGAGCGATCGATACCCTATAGAACTCCAGAAAGAGACTTGACTAAGGAGGAAAGTAAGCAGTTTGATCGAATCTCGCACGGTTCACCCTGTACATATATACGTATTTATGTGCACATATATAAATACATTGATCGAGAAAGGAGGAAAGAAAAAGAGCAGAACGAAGAAACGGCCAGGAAACACAGAGGGGGGTTAAAGGAACGATAGACAGGATTTTGAACTAGAGCCAGCGTTTTTTTATCACTCGACCTTTCCTCCTTCTCTCTTTCTCTCTCTCAACGTGTCCCTTTCTCTTTCCCACGCACACGGGTACACACTCTTTGCGTACAGACACACACACCCAGGATAGACCACGCGTTCACGCACACATGTACAGGCATACACGCGGTTTCCATCTAAGTTTCCTTCCTCTGTATCCATCATCCGGTTTGCTTCCTCTTATATAGTGCTTAGGGGGTGTGGCCACCCAACGTTTTTAGCAATTACAGTTGGTGGTCGCTGGATTGGTCGGCTGATCGGTGAGTCGTTGACCCTTCGCCTGGCCCATTCCGCCAGCGATCAGGGTCGGGTCATTGTCCAGGGACTCGCTCATCTTGTCGCATATGAAGTCCACCAGCTGCTCGAACACCGTCTACGATGGAAGTTGGTAAATTTGTCTGTTGGCCACTTTCTTGAATGCATGTTTAAGGATCAGGATTCTTCTGTGTGGAAAGGAGTGTAATCCTAGGTAGATGCGGTCAGAGGATCACTGGACTTAGTCTATGGATCCTAGGCAGTCAACACGGGCTGTGGCCAGAAGAATGGACGTTGAAGGTAAAGCCCCTTGTGTCTGCTGACACTTTCGTGAAAGGATTCTGAAGGATCAGGATTCGTCTGTGTGGAAAGGAGTGTAATCCTAGGTAGATGCGGTCAGAGGATCACTGGACTTAGTCTATGGATCCTAGGCAGTCAACACGGGCTGTGGCCAGAAGAATGGACGTTGAAGGTAAAGCCCCTTGTGTCTGCTGACACTTTCGTGAAAGGATTCTGAAGGATCAGGATTCGTCTGTGTGGAAAGGAGTGTAATCCTAGGTAGATGCGGTCAGAGGATCACTGGACTTAGTCTATGGATCCTAGGCAGTCAACACGGGCTGTGGCCAGAAGAATGGACGTTGAAGGTAAAGCCCCTTGTGTCTGCTGACACTTTCGTGAAAGGATTCTGAAGGATCAGGATTCGTCTGTGTGGAAAGGAGTGTAATCCTAGGTAGATGCGGTCAGAGGATCACTGGACTTAGTCTATGGATCCTAGGCAGTCAACACGGGCTGTGGCCAGAAGAATGGACGTTGAAGGTAAAGCCCCTTGTGTCTGCTGACACTTTCGTGAAAGGATTCTGAAGGATCAGGATTCGTCTGTGTGGAAAGGAGTGTAATCCTAGGTAGATGCGGTTAGAGGATCACTGGACTTAGCCTATGGATCCTAGGCAGTCAACACGGGCTGTGGCCAGAAGAATGGACGTTGAATCCTATCTTCAAAGGATTCTGAAGGATCAGGATTCTTCTGTGTGGAAAGGAGTATAATCCTAGGTAGATGCGGTTAGAGGATCACTGGACTTAGCCTATGCATCTAAAGCAGTCAACACAGGCTGGGATCAGAGATATCGATCGAATGGACGGTTGATGGTAAATCTTTTCTTCAGATGACACTTTCTTGAAAGGACATTTCAAGGACAGAATCTTTCTACGAAAGGAGTGCAACCCTAGATGGACGTGGTTAGAGCATAACTAACTGAGCTCACTGACTCAGAGCAGACAGCAAAGGCTGCGAGCAGAGGAATCGATCGGCTGGACGTTGATGTGTCAATGCCAATAGGTTCGATCCGTGGTGCGAGTGTGATTAATGGACGCAGATGAGCGGCAATCGAGGACAACCGATAGAAGGTAATGGTACAGTACACACACCTCGCTGATGGAAATAAGTGTCCAAACGTAACACGATAACCTTCTCGCCGTCGTCTGCTAATGACAGGTATACGCGAACGATGTACCGCCGGGATAATGGGTTTGATAAACAGGCGAAGGAAAAAGTGGATATGGCTGGAAATGGGCCTCCTAATGTATCCTATCTATTTATTCATTCACAGCGGAAGAAAAAATTTTTTAATAACGCTCGTTATGGGATTTGGACTACGAAAACTCTAATAATTACCCAGTTGTCGGACACCTATTATATGAATACTCGAATATCTGAACGTTCCACTATCCGAACGTTCTGTTATCCGAACAATCTACCATCCGAACGTTCTATTATCCGAATAGAGTATCTCCTAGCAACTTATTATCTGAATACCCCAATATTCGAACGTTCCACTATCCGAACGATCTATTATCCGAACGTTCTACTATCCAAACGTTCTATTATCCGAACGTTCTATTATCTAAAGGCTTTACTATCCTAACGTTTTACTATCCAAACGTTTCACTACCCGTGTGTTCTACCATCCGAACGTTCTGTTATCCGAACAGAACATCTAAAACTTCCTTTATCCGAACGCGTATAACTCCCTGTTAGTTCGGATACGGGAGGCTGTACTGTAATCGAGTTTTGTAAATTTTCTTTTCTGGGTGATTGAAATGGTTATTCACGATTGGTTAGGATTCGGATCATCGATTTACCTTAATGTTAATGTTCTCTTTGGCAGACGTCTCGAAGAATTGGACCCCCAATTGGTCCGCCAGCTGTTTGCCCCTCTCTTCGCTGATCACTCTTTCAACCCAGTCTTGTACCGAATTGAACGACTCCTCGTTCGTTATGTCGTACATCAGGATGAAGCCCATCGCGCCCCTGTAGTAGGCCGTTGTTATCGTTCTGTATCTCTCCTGACCCGCCGTGTCCTGAAATAATTACCATTAAACATCAGCAAATTTCATTTATCGAACGTCACCGATGAATATTAAAAGTCACTGATTACTATTAAAACCCATTTACGTTGGGCCCAGATTCAATTAGAACTGGAGAATAATCGATTTACCAATAATTCAATAATTTTGAAAATCTCGAAATTTCTACTTGATTCTTTTTTTTTTTTATTGGTTTGAAAGAAATATGGAGGTCGATACGGGAAGCAATCTGGTCACATAGTTTCAGTGATCCAATATGGCGGCGGATACAAGAAGAATCTGGTCACGTGGTTTTCGTGATTCAATATGGCGGCGACAACACGAGATGAATCCGATTCAGGGAGTTATGGTTTAACTTTCACGCGTGAAAAATCATAAAACTTAATTGATTTTAATGGAGTTATACCAACCCAGATCTGTAGCTTCACCCTTTTCTCGTTCCTGAAGACCGTTTTCACCTTAAAATCGATCCCGACGGTCGATACGAAGGCCGAGGTGAATGAATCATCCGCGTAACGGAAGAGGAAGGAGGTTTTGCCTACGGACGAGTTGCCGATAATCAGCAACTTGAACATGTAGTCGTAGTTTTGATCCGCAGCCTCCTTCTTTTGATCCTCGCCAGCTTTCGAGCCCGCCATCTGCAAAGAAACGGTAGGCAATACAATGGAAAGACACGAATACAAGAATATTTCCGATAACATACTCAGCCCCCGATAGAAACCTCGGAAAATCTCGGATAATATTTCGGGAATAGGTAACGGGAAAATAGACCGAAATTTTGGAATGTTGTAATTACTAATGCTGCCTGTCAGACTTCACAGAAAAATTGCAATCTATTTGGTTGAGTCATAAATTATAACTCCTTTATCTTCATTTTCCTTCTTTTGGAAATTCTTTGCAAGTCCATTGAATACTCTTTGCAAATTATTTGCAAATTCTGTGTAAATTCTTAAATATGTTTCTATTTCAAATTCTTTGAAAATACTTCTACAAAATCTTCTGGAATTCATTCCTTGGCAAATTCATTGAAACTCTCCTGCAAATATTCTTATGTTCACCGTTGTGAATCGAGTGTCGTTATCAACCACAATGCAACACGTCGGAGTGCAATGGCGGACAGCCTCAAAGTTATCGTGGATTTCCGTTTTCCTCGGAAGCTGATTAAATTCAATCAAGTCGAGCGGAAAATTAAGCCAGCCTCGCCGTGAAGACTTCTGCAATGGAAGTTTCATTTAAAAATCGCGTTTCTGGGGAATACGAGTTTCCGTGAAACAGTGAAACGAAAAAAAGAAGTTACGATTGGAATGGCTCGTGTTGCGAGCAATTGACCTAATGTTTTATGTAAACGTGAAGGAGATTCGCGATATATTTGAACGTAAATACGTTCTTTAAGAAGGTCGAGGATCGAGTTAAGTGAATTTCTTTCGGTACCGCCCCTTCGGCAAGTTTCCGTTTAGCTTTTTTCTCAGCGACACTTCATCTTTCCAGCCGAAAAACAGGGGTGGCCAACGATGCGAAAGAACGCCTAGTCGCTGCTCTTTAAAGGGATTTTTTTTCAGAAAATAAAGGTGAAACCCTTATAACTGCTCTTTTTTCATTTTTGTGAAAGAATTGTTTTGAAAATTACCTTTATTTCTCCAATATTAATATTTATGCGAAATCAGATTTTTTCAAAGTAATCTGAAAATTTGGTAAAGTATAATACAGATATAGTAACTATAAATACAAGAAGCATACTAATATATATACGTGTAAATATAATAAATAGAAATTTGTACCATTCCCTTTACTAACAATTATATTAATTGCATGTGAAGGGAGAGAGAGGTCATTTATGTAAATTCAAGTTTTTGTAAATTGATATAAAGCAATGATAAATATTTCGTAAAATGAAACTATTAATACGTCAATTTCTTCTAGTGACGATATTAATAGATGAAACATGTAATAAATCTTGTTCTTTGCAATTGTTGCCTACGTATTACAGAATGATGTTTATATTTCACAATATTTATATTTGTATAACTACACATTACGTAAAACAGTTATCGCGTTTCCTAGTACGGAATACTATCTAAGCCAGGTTGTTAACTCGATTTCCTATTGCTCTTTCGGTCGAGAAACCGGAATTTCGTCAGCGATAACATTCGTAATCTTTAATTATGTGAAAAAACGTAACTACGTTACAAACCACGAAGAACCAGAATCGCGAAAATTGATACATATTATTGTCTTCGTACGAACCTAGAAATTATCACTGAAAAATTCGTTTTTCATAATTAATTCATCATACTATTATTAATGAATATTTTTCAATGAAACATTTTCTTTACAAAGGAAGTATTAAAACTACCCTAAAAATTTCGATTTTTTTTTACTCGAGCAATTTTTTCGAATCGAGCAATTTTTTTTTTTTGCTGATATTCGGTTCTTCAGGGTGAAACCACTCTTTAATCGTGAATGTGTGAAGTCGTTTCTCCACGAAAAATACTGAAACCCAACTGAATTTAATAATAATGGTACCACATCTACTGTGATAAATGTATTATTAATAACAATATTGAACACGTTTTTTGCCAAATTCTTCGTCCTCGATGGATGATTCTCGGCCACCCGTGTTACCTCTAATCCACCCCAATTCACTGACATCGTGTCCACAATCCATCTCGACTTTCATTCTCGTCCAATCTCCTACCTGGTGTCTCTCCCCGTTATCGACGCCTTATCCCTCGCTAGGCTACATTTATCTCCGTCGATCCCTCACGCTACCACCCTCTGCAGATCAAACCGGGTCCACGCTTTAACTTCCCCGAGAAAAACCGTACGTTTCACAGACAGTTATTACAGTGACACCAATTCACCGACATAAATACAGTGGAACAGAAGTATTCGCACACTCTTCAAAACAGAACAACTATTTAAAAAATGGACCAAGTGATTTGAGTCTTTTGTGAAGTTAGAAGGATTAGTTCACTAAATGATGTGTAAAAAAAATGTTGAAAAACTTGCAAGTGGTCAATATCGCGAGAAAAATAATGAAGTAGCGGTCCACTATTATAGTAGTAGACTACTAAGCTATGAGAGTAGACTATTAGGTGTCATTGCAATAGTGTACTATAGTATAGCGTAGTATGCCATTACTAGTATAGGAGTTCATTGTATTATAATATGATAGTTACTAGTGAATGTACCTAATAGTCTGGAAGTCTACCCTAATAGCATACTAGTCTATTACTATTATAATTATAATGGTTCCCCCTTGTAGTCCACTCTCCTACCCTAGTAGTCTACTACTATATTAGCAGTCTACTATAACAGTAGTAAACTACTAGGCTATGAGAGTCGACTACTAGACTATCAAGTGTCACTATGATCGTATACTATAGTATAGTGTAGTAGTCCACTACTATTATAGGAGTTCATTATATTATAATATGATAGTTACTAGTGAATGTACCTAATAGTCTGGAAGTCTACCCTAATAGCATACTAGTCTACTACTCATATAGTAATCTATTATAGTATAATATAGTAATTATAATGGTTCCCCTTTGTAGTTCACTCTCCTAACCTAGTAGTCTACTACTATATTAGCAGTCCACTATAGTGTAGTATAGTAATTACAGTGGACACACTTGATACATGTATAAATCAGCGATTCCGTAAGTATCCCTACAGTCTATTAATAACCGTTACGGTGGAAACGTTTTCTCGGTAAGTTCAAGTGGTTCCGATCGAAATCCACCCCATGGGAAAACACCTACTCTCACAGCCACTATCAACGGCGTCCGAACCGCCACGAAATCGTGCACAATGTACCGTTCGCGATCCCCGATCGGCCGACACTATGAAGTCACGATCGACGCGTCAAGTGGCCGTCGTCGCGAACCAGGAAATGAACACGTGTCGGTACCGGAAGTCTGTCCCGCGGTGCAATCTCGACGATGGACATCATTCGTGCCATCCTGGTCCGTAACTCCAGCACCGAGTCCCTCGCAGCCGGCACGCTTCCATTTCCGGTCACGTTTTTCCCCGTTGCCGACATTTTCCGCGTGATTTTTCTGTCCACGTTCTCCGACGGACGACGGAGAGGTTACGTGTAGCGATTACCCCGTTTCGCGAATGGCGGACTGTGACGTCTCTGTGTGTATGTGGTCTTCGCTGGCGACCACGTGGTGCTCGTGACCGGTTCGGTATCGCGACGAGTTACAGTCACACGGTAGTTTGTTTGTTTATCGTCGATCTTGGACGCGTTCGAGGCTGACTTTCGGCAATTTTCGCTGTTGGTTGGTTAGCTTTTTTCGGTGGTTAGAGCGTATCGCGGTTTCTTCGTATCTGGGAGAGGCACCAATCGTATCGGGGAATGGCACCAAGAGGGCCATTGTTGCCTTTCAATTCTTATTGAAAAATAGTGTGGTTTTATTAATTTCCCCCTTTTTTAATGATTTTTATATTCCTTGTTATATTTAGAAAATGGCACCAAGAGGGCCATTGTTGACTGAGAAGCCCGATTTTGTAGAATTTTTATTAATTGCCCTTACCTCTTACGATTTTTATATTTGTTGAATTATTTTAGAAATGGTACCGAAAGTACCATTCATGTTCGAACTTTTTTTAGAATTCTTATTGAAAAATAGTGAGGTTTTATTAATTTCCCCCTTTTTCAATGATTTTTATATTCCTTGTTGTATTTAGAAAATGGCCCTAAGAGGGTTATTGTGAACTGACAATTCCAAATTTTTTTAGTATTTATATGAAGAAATGGCGAAGCTTTATTAAAAAAGCAATTAGCATTAATTAAACATCAAATTAACAAAGCAAAATAGCAACAATTAAATGTTAAATTAAAACAAATCTCCATCCAAATTACGCTGAAGAATCCGATGCATTGTCTCGGTATGATATGACGCAACCGTCTGACACAATTCCAGGGATGTTTAATAAAATCAATAATCCCATAATTGGGTATATGCTATCCCCAATAAACCACTATTCCTTGACTTGTTCCATGAAGCTACAAACATCAGTGCAAGGAACAAAGTCATCGTGCAACGAGCACACATTATAGTACAGAAGTGAAAGGGGGTATAGAAACCATGGTAACATGAAAATCTGAAGGATGTACAAGGGAAAAGTGCAAAATGGAACGGCAGCGAAAGAGGGTACAGCGAACCAGTCAGTTTTTCATTCATTAAAACATCTTGAATGTAAAACAGAGTCTGCTGTTCCATCGCACGCTTCATTCATCTCGCGGGGGGCTTTAATGTCAGTCTGCATGGGTATAAACACTTTTATGCGTGTCTTTATGAAGGCCCCCACTACCGTTCCCCATTCTCTGTTTCTTTCCTGCCTTTAACGAGACTGGAAAGGGGAACACGTTGCCTTCGTAGCCCGCAGAACTTCCGTCATATCGGTTGTTCGTAATCACTCTGTGTATTTCCTAGGTTGATAATACGAGAAAACAGGCTACAAAACGTATCCGTGACTTTTTTTCTGGACACCAGGTGCGGCTATAGATATCGCGGACCCACGTGGAATAAATGTCTGTTTAAAGGAATGCACTCAAGTGTGAACAGTTGCAACATGGAATTGATAATGAACTTGGCCATTGCAGCACGTGTCCACAGCTGAACTAACAGCAGAAAGCTGTGGTTGGGACTCTGTTAAATAATTCATAGCTCAAATGGTCATAGTTTCAAGTAATTGCAGGTTTCAATTGTTGCTGACTGGAATTATTGGGAAATGTAAGTAAAATTGAATTGGGTGAATGGAAAGTAAAATTGCATGCGAGAGTTGAGCTGCACTTGTATTGGGGTTAGGTCTAACTGAAGGTACCAATTGCAGTTGTTTAATAGAATTGTAGATTTTTAGAGGAATTGATTGCTATCATTAAAAGTTGTAATTGCAACTAGATCAGCTAAATGGAATCTGCAATTGTAACTAGATAATTGGAGTTTGTACTGGTAATAGAGTCAGAGATAATTAGATATACTAATTGGGACAGGTTGGTACAACAGTTGAATCCAATTCCAAGTGTTTGGAACGACTGGAAGTTGTGTTCTTAAGTAAATCAAGGATGACAGATATAATTAGGTCAGAGGGGCAAAAATTATATCAAACTACAGAAAGTGTGATTAGAAATATTGTTTAGTAATTGGAAGATGCTGTAAAGTACTTAGTATGGAAAATTGGGAGCTACAACAGTAAGGGGATATTGTATAAGTGGTAATTATGATTGTAGGTCAAATTATAACTCCATCAAAAGTTTATGCGTTGAGGTACTATGATGAAAGGTTTAATGCAAAGGAACTGGAAAATAATAACTACAGCTTGATTTATTACAAAGCACTTGAGTACATACAACTTCAGTTTTAGTAACTAACCGGTAGCTCCATCTAGACCTACGAACCAGAAAGATGTGCTCTCAGCTAAATTAGAAGCTTGGAAGTAATAACCTTTGCAATTTCTTAAGAGGATTAAAACATGAATCGTGAGACCAAATTGTTCTAAATACATGAATGTCACAATTGCAACCTCACTTTATCTAATTATCCAATCAGAATTTCTGAGTAAATCAGTATTCAACTGAGCTTCCCTTTGAGATCCAACCCTTGCAGATATTCCTCCACATGAGGAAACAGCTGAAGATGTATTGTAACCACTGACAATTAATAACCTTGTGATAACTATAGTTAGCGACAGAAAGTAAACAAGTATGGGGCATAGTATTAACTGCGAGTTCGAGCGCAGTTATACCTAAAAATGTATTCCAGGCGAAAAGGCTATAAATAAACGACGCTGAGGCACAGACACTGCGAACTTTTTAGACGGGGGTGGGAGGTTCTTATCGATTTCATGCTCGAGTCGCAGCGGCAACTCCAGAGTTCCATCAGATTTTTCAAGTTCTATCATTTCTGCCTCACTTATTTCTAGAATGCTCGTCGAGACAAGAGATGAAACTAAATGTTCTCACGCCCCGGTAAAAAACGATCGATCTATCAGCTTATTAAACGTCCAATCGCATACCAGATACGATAATAATAATTATTGCATTCATAAACATAGATTTACACATATTTTCATAATTTATGTAAATATCACGAAAAATACATTTTCTTCAATTGTCATCAAAATAAATAAACAAATAATTATAATAAACAATTAAATATTATTAATAATAAATATTCTAATTGAATTTTCACTAATAGTGCTTGAATAAAATTAACTATATGTAATTTCAATTTAAAATGGAAGCAAGTAAAAATTACAATTAAAATTGCAATTAAAAAAATTTGTTATATTAATTTAAAATCTACTTTCAGATCAATACTTATTGAAAAAAAACTTTTTACCATATTTTTTACCAAAATATTTAAACTATGTGTTCCTATATTTGAAAAACATTTGTTACAAGTTTTTAATGAAAGTCGACGGATCGAGTAAAATACCTTCGAAATTTCGAGTAGATTGGCTGAAAAGCACACACCAAAAGCTGTCCACACCGGCAGCAACAAGACCACGGATTACGAACGACATGCATTTGACACGATTCCAAAAATTCCGTTTTACGACCGTTCCGGCGGATCGGCGCCGAAATACCGGAAGTTCGATAACCTGTGTAGCCAATAACGGAAACTACACTGTTACTGGGAAGAAATTTCGCCGGGAAAAATGTGTCAGACCGCCTACGCACCGCGCCACGGAACGTCGGGGCGAAAGAAAGTGGGACAAGGTTCGCGATAATCATATCGTCGACCATATGTTAACGTCGACGCGCAGCTTTCGTGCTGCACACAATTGCATCCTTAGCGCCACGATAAAGCGTTCCGTGGAATTCGCCGACACGCAGACCCCGGGAAAAAGGTGCTCGGAGGTCGCTAATGGCCGTCAGGAGTTCTCCAACACTGGCGAAAGGAGCATATTTGGGAATAGTTCAATTTATGGTATGCACGTGGAGCTGCGAACGAGATTATGGTGGCTCTACAGTGAAGTATAGTATTCCTTGCTTTCCGTTTGATGTCCTTGGATACGTGGTATGAATACTGCAGTTGATACTTTTTATGACAAGGGGGTTAGGAAAATGGTACTTGATGCAATTGTACCATAAATTAAGAATTGTCTATTTGATGTCCTTAGATACATGGTATAAGTATTGCAGTTGATATTTTTTATGACAGAAGGTTAGGAAAATGGTACTTGATGCAATTGTACCATAAATTAAGAATTGTCCATTTGATGTCCTACAGCATATGGTATAAATATTGAACTTGATATTTTTTATGACAAGGGATTAGAAAAAATGGAACTCTACCATGGATCAACAAACATAAATATTAGAATAGTTGGTTTCACTGAAGATATGTAATGTTTTGTACTGTTATAGTTTTGTGTTAGAGTATTCATTACTGGTCTTTAATGTTGGCTAAATAATATGAAATCAATATCATTAACGATTTTGCGTTGGTTCTTGTAGCTTATATTTATGGGTGGGAGTGGGAGCAGAATAATAGTTTTGTCATATGAGCTGAGAACTAAAACAATAAGAAAAGTAACAGAAGCTTTTATGGTAAAAATCCCTTGGACCATAACCATTAGGTACTAAAAGCTTGGTATTCTAACTTCTTTAGCTGGTCATTAATAGAGTGGAGAAGCAGAAAGTGTTATTTCCTTTAAAGCTTTTATTGAAGAAAGGAATGAATAATCATTATATATCTAGAAAACTAGTAATATTATGACAGAATTGGTTAATTTATATTGAAATATCATCAAGCCTAATATAAACCAAATGTATACATTGCAGTATTTCAAATTCAAAAGATCTTGTAGATTCCATAGACTAGATTTGTTGTCTTCATACAGAAAACAAATTTATATAATTGGTGGATAATTTGATATTTCCATATCTAACCCAGAAGTAACATAAATTCAAGTCACACTTAAATGTACTATGTCTCTAAAAAACAAAAGAAACTAAATTTGAAATTCTTGATACAAGTCATTTGTTCTCATAACAAACAATCATGAACACAAATCCAACTCACAATCTGCGTTATTGTACTTTTACAAATGAGACTTTTTTTTCAACAACTGGACCAGTATTTCACTCTCTCCAGATGCAGATGAAATTTATCCCAGATAGCGATACCCAGCTCAGACAAGCTAATTGCGTTCCTCAGAAGAAGAAACTTTATCTCGTATATCAAGGTTCCCCAAAACAATCCCAGTTTGTTGTTAACTCCTCGCCCTAAGCCTTGGGGAACGGCACAGGGGAATCCCCCTCCAAAGCTCCCACGATCCCAGGGGATCAGCCAGCGGGCAAAGCATAGAATATCTACTAAAATGGCGGAAATGTCATTGAGAAAACCGAACCCTCCACGCTTCTCGATTACGTTGCGCCACGTAGAGGGGGAGGGCTAGGTAGTGATGGCGACGGGAGGAGGGGGTAGCAACAGAGCAAATATTTTTGGAAGATCGATTCTCAACACCTGACCACCCACGCCGCTCGTTACAAAGTTTCGATTTCAGCGGCTGTCAAAATGAACGTAGACGGAAGATGGAGCCTCCGTATAAGTACAATCGTGACGCTAGAATCTGGATCCCGAAAACGCGTCTGAATCGATACTGCTTGACTTCTCGATGTATCGATGTTCAACTGATAAACACCTAAAGCTATGCCACAGCTACCCCAAGTTCGGTCCAGTCAATAATCGAACTTCACCATCATCCCTTGATCCCCAATTCTCCCTACAGCTGACACGTTCACCTCGAATTGGGAAAGAATTTGACACAAGTCCTTAAAAAGTACTGACAGACAGGACACGGAGGAAAGCTGCCAGAGGCAAAAAGACCACCGCAGATTACCCTAGTTGCCCAAACCATTTTGGGTCGTATCCACATATGGATCCAGATACACCTATGTATGGCAGCCTGAATAATTCACCCCGTATTGACATCACAGAGACCCAGTACATTAGAAGCGTCCAGCAGGAAAGTCCAAGCATCCCCTAACCGGGTTAACAATGAAAACCCCCAGGGGACGACAGACGGCTGCGAGGAACTACGTGCAACGCACTTTCTACGTGGAAAGTCGGCTCGGCCAGCCACGGTTCACGCGAGAGAGGAAAAGCGAGGAAGAGTACAATAGATGGAGAGAGAAAGAAAGAAAGAGAGAGAGAGAGAGAGAGAGAGAGAGAGAGACAGTGAGACAGAGGGGGACAGAGAGAAATCAATAAGCAGTCTATCGACGGGCTCCGGCTGGTCGGACGAGAAAACGTTCAGGCAACGAAATCCACGAGTGCTAGGAACTATCCTGAGGCACACGGGACTTCGTACGATCCCGTTCCATCGTCGTCCGACGTCAGTCGTCGCCGACGAGTACCTCCTGAATAGGACGATCCTCTCACGGCTGAACGGCGAACGACAAAGAGGTAGGTAGCACACCGAGCGTATTGCACTTCCGGTCCTGCACCACCACGGCACGGCGAATTCGTTATCAGCGAGTGGATATTTCCTGCGGATACCCCGGACCACGACTGTTCCGACACAAAACGGCAGCCACACACAGGGGGGGTTGTTTCCCGATGATTTTAAAGAGACTGTGGACTGGCCTCGGTAAAGCCTCGCGCCACTGTAACCCCCGCTATAGCTAAAATATCGACCATTTTCGTGGACCCCCGCCCGTCCTCGGGGCCAATCCCGAGGAAGGCCGCGCCTGCGCGACGTGCAACCCGACCAACATCAATATGCCGCCATTAGAAACGAGTCGGTCCGTTCGAGGACACTTGTTGATCGCGAAACCGTTCCGCCGCCTATGTGCTTGCACCATCGGTAACTGACTTAACGATTGTCGGTAAGTTATCGACAGATTGCTGAATTTGATTCTGTAGGTCACCGTTTGTGTTTACAAATCAAATGTATTGCTTGTGTTGGAATGTTTAGTATGGAAATTGGTGAAATATTATGGGGAGTTTTATTATTTTCTGTTAATAAAGCTCCTATGGCTTTTTTTTTATTGCGAAATATGGAATTGAAACGTGAGTGTGTTACCAGTCGTCTGAAATTAGCCGAATTTCTTATGACATTCGTTTTGTTTTTGTTTTATTTGGCCTGTACTTTGGCATGCTCGCAAAATTCCGTAATTATCGTTAATCTCGTACCGAACGCGTGATCGCAGAATTGATACTTCAAACATGCCTCATCACAGTTTTCGCAAGCCGAGGATCAGCTATGTGCAAGAGAAACAGATCGTGGAGCCGGAATCCAGTTGCGAGTGCCATGTCGTGAGGCGATCGCAATCTGGCCGTGAAATCGACGAAAAAAAGATCACGTACTTAAATTTTAACTAATAAATCAAATAATCATTCGATTTCAGAAAAATCAAAATTTCCTAAATTTCCTAATTTTGAGTCATCTGTGACTTTTTTCAAATTCAACTGTTTTCCATCGACATTGCTCTTTCAACTCGAATAATACCTGATGCCTTTATTTATTATTTTTCTTCCAAGTGTATAAATTGAATTTGATTTATCATTGATAATTTTGCAGTCTGAGAAAATGTGAGAGCGTGAACGAGTCATCGAAAAAGAACAAAAAGGGTCAAGTTCGAAGAATCGAGACGCGAAACCTGAGGGTGCCGCAGATTCCCGAGAAAATTGTCAATCTCGTGAACATTCTACAGCACGAAAACTTCCTGAAGGTGGTCGATCAATATTTCAAGTCGGGCGTGAAGAATCAATCACGAAAGAAGTCACAGGGAAAGAAGTCAACTTCGATTAAAAATTCTTCGTCGAGCACGGCAACACAAACGGACTTTGACAGTAAGAAAGCATAATTTGTCGTGAATGTCATTGTAAATATATAAATAAACATAATTACATGTCGAAACAAAATGATGCAGCTTGATTAACATCATAAACCATCCTTCACGTTCTTCTTCCATCAAGTATGACTATCACACATCTCTCCTTTAATATAACTTACAATTTATTTTGCAATTTGCAAAATTAAACGCGTGACAAGATTCCGTTTGAAGTATAAAAAATACAATTCTGGTATCTTTTATTTACAGTAATACTAGCTGTGTACTGTGTACCATAATTCTTCTGTGTGCAGTAACATTCAGTTTAATAGTATTTTTGTTCTCTCGCCAAGTTGGATTCTATAAACAATCTGCTATTCATAGTCTTGTGAAATGAAATCAAAGCAAATCAAATTACTTTGTTAGAACGAGCTTCTGGCAGAAAATTACAATTGCATCCCATCGAAAGTCATTTGAGGTTCACTCTCAGTGGGTCAACAATCCACTCTAACCTCGTTTTCTCACAGCTTGCTCTCGGTGTCATCATAGATCACAGCTGGATTCGTGGCTGCCCACTTTTCTTTAATAGGCAAGGATTCCTTCGTTGGTTTGTTCTTCAAGCTTTGCACACCGGCATAATGGTCTTCGACTTCCTTCAGAGTCCTGCCCTCAGTTTCTGGCAGCATGAAGTAGAGCACAACGCCACCTAGGACATTGATTAGACCGTAGAAGAAGAAGGTGCCGGCCAGGGACAGACCATTCACCATATACAGGAAGCTCTTGTTGGCTATAGAGTGGAAGATGTAGCCTATGGAACCGGCGAACCCTGTTGCACTGCTTCGAACCTAGTTCACACAAAGGAAAACAACAGGGATACTTTGGCTCTTCACGAAAATTGGGACACTCTGTATATGACTCTTCAGTACATTCTATGGATAGATATAACTGTAGAAAGCTGAAGCAGAGTTAAATGGGAACAACAGTGTGCCAATAGCAATTCGATGACATACTTGTTGCTATCATGAAGATGACAGAGAATTGTATAATTCGTTATTGTTGTAACATAGAATTGCCATAAGAAATTTGTACAAATTACATTTGGAATATTGTCTATTAGACTGAAAGGTAAAAGGAAACGGATGATATATTAGAGAGTTACCTTCACAGGAAAAACTTCACCAGCAAGTACCCAAGGCAACAACCTGATTCCAACATGGGACATAAAGGCTGAACCAATCAGCAAGGTGGTCGGCACCCAGCTGAAGTTTTTCCCCTTAATAGCATTGATATCATTCAAATATCCATAGACGGCTGCTCCACAAAAGCAGAAAGCAGTGCCACCGATGGACAGGAAGTTCAACTTCCGTTTTCCAGTGAAGTGTATGGCGAACACGCAGATCAGCGTACCCACTAACTGAGCCAGACCCAGAAACACTGCAGCTGTGTATTGGTCGATGGGTGCGTCCAGTTTTTCGAAAACAACCACCGCGAACGTCTGAATGGTTATAGAACCACCAAATGATTCTACGAAGAACACCCACGTGATTAGGAAAAAGGGGACATAGAAAGTCCTTTTACTGAACGATTTCCAGATCCTTTCTCGCGATTCCGCCGGTTTGTGGACTTCCTGGCAGATGACCTGTAACTCTGCTTTCACTTCACCTGGTCCTACCCAACCTCTGAGCCAGCATAGTGCGTCTTCAGCTTTCTTAACTTTTCCCTTAGCTGCAACACACAGTTAATTATGAGACCTAGACTACTGGAATATCCAATGTAACAAAGCTATATAAATAGTGAAGTAAAACATCATTCTAAAACCTGACACATATTCTGCATTTTTCAATAAACAATGAAACTTCAAGACCCCCAAGACTTTCAATCTATTACTAAACGAGTCTAATAATTAAAGTGACCTGATGCTTTTCGTCGTAGATACAATATCCTACAAGAATTTTGGTCGAATGATCCCTGAACAGTATAACCCAAAATCGTAGATAAACCCTATATACCCTAAATAATCTAAGGTCTGGGTGTTAGGTCATTGCTACAGATAACAGAGCGAAGCTCACCGGCAAGCCAATGTGGGCTCTCAGGGACCAGGCAAAGGGCAATCAGGCAGATAACAGGATAGGTCAAGTTGATCAGGGCCACGGTCCTCCAGTTGGTCAATTTTCCGCTTAACATCTGTGTGAAGATGCCCAAGATTACGGACATGCTTGATGTGGCGGACAACATGCCACGTAGATGAGGCTGGGTAACCTCCGCTACATAGGTCATCACAGGTGCCTCCAAGAGGCCGCCGGTCAATCCCGTCAGGGCCAACGCGATGAACAACATCCCAGCGGTGGTGGCGTAATAGAAGATGAGCCACGCTATTATGAATGGGATGTTGATTAGCAACATGGTCCTCTTTCGGCCCAGGTACTGCGAGACTGGCCCGCTAACGAAGCAACCAATGGGCACTAGGAACAGATTCAAGCTACCTGGAGAATAAACAGAACCGAGAGATCAGTAACATTTATAATAAATATAGTCATCTGATTAACAGTGAGCAAAATAGGTAAATAGTTCAGTTGTCCCTCTTTACAGGGTGTCCCATTTTAACAGACATTTTAAAATGAACATATCTGTTGTACGGATGAACATAGGTCACCAAAATTTTTTTTAATTCGGTTCTCTGGTATGTGTGTTTTTTTTTAGGGAATATTGTAGATCTAGAAGAGACAAAGAGGAATTTGTTGCTTTTATAAATTCTGATGGAAAAATGTGGATTTCTATGGACATTTTAATATTTTGGGTGGATCGGAGCACTTACTGATCCACGTCAGTTCATCTAGGGTAACTGGGATTTCCGAGTCCTCTTTCTTCAATTCTGGGATCAGAATCGTGGAGAACCCAAGGGTGGATCCGAATGTGAGCATCAGAAGATTCTTCGCCGAAACTGCGGAACATTGTGGCAGTGCTTGGCGAAGCTTCGATATAGTGTACACTTCCGGGACACCGTTCAGCTCCGCGGGCGATGTCTTCTCCCCGTTTCTGAAATCCAAATGGGCCGAATGGTTAAACAAAATTGGTTAAAAATTATTACATTCGAAATGAAACGAATTTGATTCAAGCTCAAGGGATTCGAGAATTAATATTAATATTATATAACTATTACTCTTATTAAAACAACAATTTTTCAAAATTATTATTATTATTGATATTTCCATTTTAATTGTATTATGTATACCTTATTATTATTACATTAAAAATATCATTAAATTTCAACATTTATTTATTTTTTATTTTTATTATATGTTATATATTGAGTGTTAAGTACCAGCAGCAGAGTGCATATTCCAATCGCCTACCATTGAGTACTCTGAAGAATTTTTGTGAATGTTATGTACTACTCGTCAATACTCATGTAAATATTCGTTTTCTACGATGGTACTGATAAAAGAATAAAGTACGAGCGTTTCGAATGTGAATCGAATTGAGCACGATGAGTCGAGCCCATAGATAATTTTTACGCGGGCAACCGTTTTATTTTCCGTCATTGACACAGTTCCTTTCAGCGTGAAAGGGCCTGCCACGATTACATAAGTTTCGGTGCACATTCTCCCGGGTTTGCGTAATCCAGCGTGCCGAACCACGCGAGTCTGCTCGCACAGGTAGATCAGTTACCTCGCGCGTGGAATTTTTTTTTATTTGTCATGAAGATGAACTGATCTGAAAATATATAGCAATTCTTCATTTAAATAAATTAAGAGCCACCTGGACACCAATTGGATATACATGGCGTTCGCGATAATTTGTACCATCGTTTTTTTTTTTCGTAAACGGTAAACATTAGAAACAAACTGAAGAGGAGGCAGTTGTAATATATTTTACTAGTAATATGATAGCGTATCGAAAGTTTTTGTGTTTTTAATATTTTTTTAGAAACAAAGGTGACCTTAGTTTTTTTAAATGGAATGCTACATATTTTTTTACATCATATGAAAGCGGGCATGAAGGAGAGTTCAACCATGTAGTATACTATGGCCTTCAGGGTCATACAAGGGCAGGAATAAAAGAAATTTTTTTTTTTTCGTGTTCAATTAGTAAGAATGCATTTCTGAGAATTTGTTTCTGCCCTTGTATGGCAAATAAAACCGAGTCATTATTGCTTTAGGAATGATAATCATATTAATTGAAATAAATTAAATAAATTAAATTGAAAACTGGAACAGAACCCGTACAATTTGGGTCAGAATAAATTTTTAAGTGCGTTTCTAAAAGATTAAACCTGAAGGACGAAGCGAACCACGAGTGACACGAGGTTGAAACGATCTTCGGAGGCCTGAATCCCAGTGAATTATGCGTCATCGTCGGGAAGAAACGTCAAAGCGCCAAGCCATGTGGAAAATTGAGCTATCAAGCCGAACGTAATCTAGGACAATCGTTCGAAACAAAAGCTTAAGTTCAGTAGAGGCGGTCGTTGTCACTTATCGCCGTGATCCAACATCGCCTCTAGATCATTCGTGACAACTTTCCTCAGCGATATGGGAATAAAGATTCTTGATAAAGAGGATCCACGGATTATTGTGTTGTCATAACGATTTACAGAACCTACGCAGAACTCGTTCGATCTGGATACACTATTTATCTATAAGTATATTTATACTATTATTATACTATATTATATATCACGTATCAATAAGAACTGCTATTTAAAGTAACTCATTATCTATGGGTTGTATAAAAAAAACGTTTTAATCCATTATATAGCATTTTAAGGGACGTATCAGATGAACACAATTTCATTTTATTATATCTAATTTGTTTTTTAGATACCAACGTGACCTTGAGTTTTTTCGTTCATCCTTTCCTTGAGTCTTTTGAGTCATAAACGCAAAATCTCCACTTCACTTTCTGATATGCAAGGTGAAGCACGTGATTGGATTCACTTCAATACTAATGATTTCAGTGGAAAATGTTTCAGACAAAAGTTGTATGGTTTCGAAGAGGGCAGAATTTTTCCTGACTAGGTTTTTTTGTAGGAGCACGCGTAGAGGACATACGAAGGTCAAGTTTGTTTTTTTAAACGGAATCATATATCTTTTATAAAGTTAGTAGATCCAGCTTGTAATTCTGTATAAATAAGTATTACCCTGTTCATATTAAAAAATCGTTAGTTTAGGAGATATTTTGAATTATTCGAAGTGGTATCAGTGGAACCACAGCGATAGAAAGGTATTGCTGCGGCTCCACTTATGCCACTTCGAATAATTCAAGTCACCTACTCCACTCTGTAGTTTTTCCTCGTGAAATCGTTTTAGTGTTTAGGTCTACTCGCGACCATTTTATCATCGCAGCGTTTAATTAAACGTTCAGGAGGAAGCAATTATGCAATGCCGTCGTGGAGGACGTTCTTTTTATCCAATAGCAATTCTTCGCCTATGGAATTTTTTCAAACGGTCGTTTACTTGGATTTTCTCGAAACTCGGAGAATGGATAAGAAGTCACGCAATATCGTGAAATATTTCCGAGTTATTGAAAGAAGAATCTCTAATCCGTCCACACAGAAAACAATCTGTAATCACGAAATAACTCGTCGATGACACCACAAGCAAAAATAAGATGGCTTAACGTATAATTACTAAATCATTAAACAATTATAACGTCACTTGAAAATTGTTATCTGATCGACGGATATTTTACGGATAATTGCCGGGGAAAAAGAGTAAATTGCAAGTCGAAAGCGGAACTAGATAAAATTTTGTGAAAGCATATCTCTAATAATATTTTTACCAATAGATACTGAACAGTTCGAATGAATAAATATTTTCAGTGGAAAGCGAAACTTCGACAATTAAAATATTTTTATTAATTTCTGGTGTTGAAAAATTTTTTTTATTTATTCGTTGCTCGAATGAAATTGTCCAAATTTAATGCAAAAACAAAAGAAATATTTCGTTTTCGTACTTTTAGGGATTTGAAATGAAATGTGATGAATTACTGTACGAAAATTTATAGAATTAGCACTCCAGATCCGCTTGAATGTCACTTCTAAATGCGCATCTTGGCCGAGCGTATAGATGTTTAAACGAAAGCGCTAAGTAGCTGCATCCTCGATTACCGTTGTAATCTTCTAAGCCAGATTCAGCGAAAGGATTCTAATTGATGCGGTATATCTTTTCGCCTTATCAGTGGTTGATGAAAAATTAACAACAACAAATATAATGCACGTATTCGAAAATTCAGGAATTCAAGTATTCAAAAATTTAGAAGTTCAAACATTCAAAATTTAAGCACTAAAGTAGTCAAGGATTCGAAGATTCAAATAGTCAAAAATGGAAGAGTTAAAATATCTGAAATTTAAACAGTTTAAATATTCATAAATTCAGAAATTTAAATATTCTAAAATTCAACTATCTAAATATTCCAAAATTTAATGCTCTAAATATTCAAAATTTCAACACTTTGAATATTCGACAATTCAACACTAAATATTCAAAAGTTCAACACTCGAAATATTCAAAAATTCAACACTCTGAATATTCAGAAATTGGACATCGAAGTATTCAAGAATTCAATACCTTATATATTGAAGAATTCAATTGGTACTTTCAATACTAAAAATTTCAACTATTAAGAAATTTTGAAAATGTTGAATGTACATGGGTTCCAAATCTGAACCATAGATAACAATAATTCTGAAATAGTAATAAATTTCACTTTGATAAAAATTTGCACAGATAATTCTAATAATATATAAAGCCATTAATTACCCGCATTGATTCATCCAATTCGATGTTTTATACGAAGCAAGCCTATGTTGACATTTCTGATTAATTATCGGTCGTCCGTCGAACTTGTTATCTTAATTATATGTAAGCATGCGGATGAATCAAACTACGCGAATAATGTTGTTTGAATGCATTCCTATGCAAACCATTAGGAAAACAATTTACGATAAATGAACCGATAGATGAATACGTGACACTAACTGTCAAGGTCTACGACAACATACGTCTGACATAATGTCAGTGACATTCACTTGAATATTGCATTTCCGTAAATCACAACAATATATACGTATACATTCTAGCTTTAACGACGAAAGTATTGACCATAGTTTATATTCAAACTGGCGAATCATTAAATTTCTGAATCTCAAAAACAGAAAACTCGATTTTTGAATTTTAAATTTTCCGTATTCAGACGAAAAATGTTTGAAAAATTCATACATCTGGATCCACCAACGTTCAAGTTTAAAAAATATTTTTCATTTCTGAGTCGTAGAACTTGTTAATATTTGAATTCACAATTTTTTGAATTCTGAAAGTTTTAAGCTATTGAATTTCTCGAACCAAAGAATGTTGGTATCCTGTCAATGGTGCTTGTAAAAGCTAATTTCTCCAATCATTATCGAACGGTTTACAGAACACAATAATAAACGTTTCGTTTGATTAAATGTTTTACGAGTCGGAAGAATTTCTCCGCGAAACGAAATCAATTGAATATTGGACATGTTTCTTTTGCAGACTGAGTAAATAACAGATGTTCCCTGACATTGGAATTTGAAAACAAAGAAGACGTCGATAAAACAAGTGTCTCTTGTTAGGACGCACATAACCAACGCTGTTAACCGACTCGGTCGAAGCGAAGATATCCAAATAATGTTCGAAACTGCCCCTCTGTACTTGATAAAATTATCTAAGTTCTGATCTACCAACGAAAACTATCCACAGAAAATGTCAATAGAACAATCTTATCAATAACATTTCGGAAGATGGATTAAAAACTCGTTAAATTATGTCTGTTTATGTACCTCTTTTATTTTATCAGTTGCGTATCAAATAAGCGATAAGAATGAATTATTACTAACCTGTTCGGTTCTTCGGTTGAGGGTGGGGATTGCGCCATTTTCGGTGCTGGAAAATAGGTTATTTATACTTTCTTCTGTCCTTACGAACTTCACACGTGCATTCCTCAATTTACATTTAAGTACGGTGAAATTGAATTTCGAAAAAATCTTTCGAACAGTTACAATCAACAATTATTTAATGTTCAAGTTACACGGATCAATAGTCTGATCTTGAAAACAATTATGGCTTCTTTCTTCTTTTACATGCTGGGAGCTTTTCTCTCTATCTTCAAAATTTTCTTCAGTTCCATTCAAGTACTCTTCTCATAAAAATGAAGATCTTTATCTTTCTTCCTCTAGTTTCTTCTTTTTCTTCGATCACTTATTGCTCATAAGATGTTTTTTCCGTTAAATCACCCGATTTACAGATCAAGGTATCAAACTTACAATCTAGGTTTCTTCCTTTTAAGGTGTCTTGGTACAATACTACTCAGAGACCTCCAGCTTCGCCTCCAACGTTTTCTTCAAATTACCGTTTGCTTCGTTACCAACTCCATAGACGTCTAGAATCCACTCAAGGACCAGTAAGGATATCCAAGTCCTTTCCCCTGGCTCATCTTCGTCGACTGAATCTTCTCGGAAGGAATCACCTTAATCTTCTAAAAAACTGATTCTTCCCTGTCACTCGTCAATAATTCAGACCATCGAAAATTCAATTAATTCTTCAGTGGACCAATGTTCACATTTCTTCACAGTTTGACCAGCTCTCCTCCAGCTGAACACCTTAAATGCTTTCTGACAACTGTATAGTGGTGACCATTACAGTAGTCACGTGCGAAATATTCCAAACAATATGGGAATTACTGATAAGTGGCCCGAACAATGGTAGCTTTATCTGTACTTTTTCCCTTATCTCTCCACGTTCAAAAGTCTGCAAACCTTGGTGTACCTTCGACTTCCATTCATTAATCAGATTTCTCAAAGTAAAATGTCCTTTTCTGCTGAAGTGTCTTCTTCATTTCCTCTCAAGGGTTGTTCAGAATGGTTCACCAAGTGGCCATAGAGATCTTCAGTTTTTCTTCAGGTTGGTAATTGAAGAAAGTCTGATCAGAGAGCTGGTCCTTCTCTGGCACATTGTGAGACACTGAACGACCAACGAAAGCAAAAGCCAGTGCACCTTCTGATTTCTCCTCCTCCTACAGCAAGTTTGCACGAGTTGTTTCTGGGCATCGGTGGTACATACGACCCCCCTTCTGTCATGCAGCTTGGCGTGCCGTTACACCTAATGTGACAGTCACGGTTTGGAGCCGATGGAGGAGAATGCTGCTGAGGTAATCCTCTTTGCTAATTCATGATAATGGTGGAGCAGTTGTAAAATTTTTTTTTTTTATGACCTAATACTGTGAATCCATTTGTGTATGTGTGTTACCAGTTGGAATCTTTTTTTTTTTTTGATAAGCAGAAGATAATAAACTGTTTATTGGACCTGAAGCTAATGTAGACAGTACGTAAAGTATAGTGGTGATAGATGCTATGGTCCACTTTATGTTAAAGGATATTGTTCGTGGAACTATAAACTAATGGGGTTGACAGAATATATTGTAATACTTTATAGTGTATTGTTTCAGTCATTCCGAGGTCAAAGTGACTAACTTAACCTTTTTGAATTTGTTCAAATTTTAGTGCTGAAACGCTTGATTAGTGCTTAACTTCGTGTATTTAAAATAATTTTCTTTGGTTATATTTTGTGGACTTTATCAGTTTGGCAAATGAACGGCGCATTTATGACGGACTACTGTAATTGTCAGTATATGATGCATATTAGTGGTAGGTAATATAATTAATAATGTATATTTTTTTAAATTATTATTTATATACTGCCGATTATTTTGGTTATGTGTTGTATGAAATTTAAGCAGTAATAGATATCATAATTATACAGTACATGAAGTAGCATATGTTACTGTTTTAATTAGTTCTACTAGGCTATTAGAAACAAAGGTGGATTGTTTCGTAATTTTTTACCACCTTTTATTATTTTTTTAATAGTAAAATTCATATACATTTTTTTAGAAAATATTTATTTTAAACCATTTTACATATACCCTAGTGTAGCTTGCTTTGCGAATTAATATCGATAATAAATTTGTTAAACATATAGTGATTGTAAATTAACATTTTATTGAACTGTTAATATTAATTTTTCTCTATGAAAGCTCTTACCATATTGGATTATAGAGTAATTCTATTCAAGATACTCATTCGATACACTTGTCTATTATCTATGATTAATCTAAATAATTTAAGAGTTTATCGGATTATTATTCTATCATGACAGCCAATTAAAATTCTGCTTCTATAAATGTTTTAAACAAAAATTGAACTTAGACTGATTTACTGAGTTGTAAATGATTAGCAATTGTTTAGTCATTTATGATTAGATAAATATCGAATAACTTTGAAGATGTAATAGAAGTCACGTGGACTTTTACATAACATTCAATGCAAAAGTTCTATTTTACATAATACAAGTAACTTCGAAAGCGTTAATTACTCTTGACACCTGTTGCTTGCACAACACTTGTCTGTAAAAGTTCCCCCATTGAAACAGTCTGTATCTAATTTTACACCTGACAATTTATTTGACAAACAAATATTAACACTATTAATCTGCATAAACAGATTCAGTTTTTTTCTTCGTGCAATCGATTGCATGAATACTTTGTATGGACTAGGTAATCAATGAAATAGATCATTCATTGAAATTGATTGACAATTGTAGATTCTTTTTTTCCATTTTAACTAATTAATTTTCGCTTCAAATGAGTAATTGTAAACGGACGACAACTTTGTCTCAGTCCAGTTTCAGTTTCCATTCGAAATAAAAAATGGCGGACAATTTAAGTTTCTTCCTTGTCCCTTTCTATATTCGAATAAACAAATCTTTTTCATAGATTTGTCTTTAGTTATCCGATGAGTCCTTTATTGCCAGAAAAACCAACAATATTATCATAGTACACCATACCTTTGTACATTATTTAGATAACATGAACGAGCTTATTAGTCACGCTGTGTACACTGAACGATAACTTATATTCTCATGTCAGATTAACTTTCCAATATACGTTGATTAAGCATATTTCGCAATACATTATGCATGACTGACTTCTAATATAAAAATATTGCCAGTATAGAAATTTAAATAGAGAAGAATTCTATAGGAACAAAGGGTTTCTAAGATCCTAATCTGTGTCAACAGTCTTAAATACAGACTGGATATTAAAAAAAAAACAATTAAGTTGGATGACAAACTATCCACATTTCAATCTGTTGTAGTATATTTAAAATTGCTTCTTTTTCTGTGATCAAAGTAAACCAAAATCTTCACAGTTTCATGTTGTTCTTACAAATATACATTTTAATGGTATTTAGTATTATCAAAAGTAACGACTCTACATGTTGAACAATACTTATGCTAATATAGAGATGTATATTTCCATATTAGCATAAGTATTGTTTGTAAATTACTATATCTTATGGCGCAATATCTCTTGCCCATACTGCCCAATTTTTCAGTTGGTCTTACTAGCGCTGGAAAACGTTAATTACAAAATATGGTATTGGTAATAAGTGTAACGTGCAGCAGAATACGATTATCTCGAGATTACAGAACTTTCTCTGTCTTACAGAAGATTAGAATTTGCATAAAATATCATACACACCGTCTGGATGTGGAATTATACTCCACCTGTTTTATCGTTCATCGATCCGTTTTAATTCCCCTCGACAGGAAAGTTCGACTAAACGTAGAATAGCACTGATTAATAAAATACGATGACGTTTTTTCGCAAGAGTGTAACGTTCCCTCGTCACAAATATAATCCATAATATGATTGGCATTTAAAATTTAGATAAGCTCGCCTTAATTCTTTAATTTGCTCACTCCACTTACAAGACATCGTCTTATCAATTGCATGTTTCTTCACTTTCTCAGAGTTATAGTAAAGTTTTTATAATAAGTTCTTATAGTAAGTTCTTCTACTTTTTGTAGGAAAAATGGGGAACGACGTAATGCAATCCAAGAGGACACAATAATGAGTGAGAAGAAGAATGGGAGAGGACATAATACACATGTCACCGATTGTGTCAATGTGAACACAACAATAGAGATCTAGTAAATGTGAGAATTTATTAAGAACGATATATCTGGTGTACGACAGATTTGCACATGGTAAATTAATTAAATAAATATAAAAATCACACAGACTCCTACATGATCATTAGCCAATCAGTTGCGTCGTTAGAAGCACTTAAACTTCTCCCTTTTTTTTTTGTTTACTTTCTCATGTCAGTTTACTTCTATGTATACGAGCGTGTCAGGACCTGATATGATTTACAACTTTGGTTAAGAAAAAAATATTCAAAACTCGTCGATACAAATCGTCTTACAATTCAGTCTAAAGGCATATAAATCACTATGTTGTAACATTCATTTCGCAACACACACGTTACATTTTTATCGCAGAAAGAATACCCAACAATTAACGGGAAGAATTTGTTATACAAATGTTTAAAATCCCTTAGACCCTTTTCAGAAAAATTCGAAATTTATATTTTTATTTTTAATGAGTCACCAGGAGTTACGTTATTTAATTGGAAACTGTTTATATACTACTATATGTTTATCACATCAGTGGAAGCATAAGAGCTAAAGTTCAGCAAAGTTCCAAATTGAATTTCAAAATAATCATCTTAAATTCATGAATCACATTATACAATTTAGAATGAAAGCCAAATTCTAATGTACTCTTTCAAATATGCATCCAGTTAATTATTCGGAATTCGTTGTGTAATGTTAGACACTCTTCAACAATGATTCTATGTATATTGCTTCTGACTGGAACGTGATCAGAACACTGCACGCTTCACCTCACTCATCCTTTCAATGCATCGCGAAAAATGTACATCACTCCTCATTGAACTGTCATGTGTTGTGAAGCGAAGATGTATTTTATACACACTCGTATATCCTACAATTATACATATAAAATAGGACCCAAAGTGTTAGCTCGCTCGGGAGCAACGATTCTCCTTACAAAAATAGACTGCTAAAGCTAAACGAGACTAAACGTTTAGTACAGGAGGTGATAAATGTTGAAAGTTTCTTTTTATGCAAGTGGTTAAAACTTAACGATATAAACATTTCTTCTGGATGAACCTGAATATCGTCTACTTCATCCATAGACTGAAGATCGATGTTCTAAATGAGTCAACATTTAGCGTGATTTAGCGTACAAGTTAGTTTGAGTCGCCTTCTAGGCTATGTAGATCCCCTATGTACGACAAGACTGAGATCCCTTCCTTTAATGCTTTGTAATCCTTTACTGTAACGCTTCTCTATTTAGTTGCACTAAATAAAGACCGAATAAAGGCACTCTTAGACCGTTATGCATGTAACGAGGGTTACATTTTCCGAAGAAATTTTACTATACACGTAACTGTAAAACATTGTAACATTCGTCTTAAAATTTTTCAAGTTCAAATACTTGGTGTGTTGGACGCGGTCTTCGAACGTTCCGCCATAACCATAGACAAACCGATACACATCCAGGTGCGTTCTTTTAGGTTTATTTATTCACGTCGCAGTCGAATTAATATTGTTACGTTACTTTGTTTTACAACACAGAAGTGATAAACCAGCACCTCCGTGTTTTCTGGAACAGCACCGGTTCAACAAATGCAGCTTCTACTTATCATTAATATATTGATCAAAAGCTAATCGATCTGTCCTGAAACCTATTCCGCGTACGCAATTAATGCGCCTAAATCGCGACGCAAAATGATAAATAGATGCTTCGAAATGTAACACAGCCATTCTTCCTAAAGACAACGAACAGAGATACCAGAGCTACTCGATTAACCGAGTCGAATTGTCTAAAATATATATAATACATATATACATTAATACCCCCGCCCCGTATCTCGTGTGTCATTATCCACAGCTTTGTATTCTCCATTTTCACAGTGCGTTCCTGACCCTCGTGTATCCGATTACACGTAAACAAATCTGTCCCGCGGGAATCGATTGCACAAAACATGTTTCGTGCGTTCTTCATTGACAAATGACAACTGTGTTTTCCTACCCTACCGTTTCAACGGAGTATAAATATTAAGGCGCGACCGTTGACGTAGAGTCGTTTATGTAAAACATTCGTATTAAAATTGTGTACAATCGCTTAAAATATAAAACTGTATGTCGTGTAAAAATCTGTATCTCCAGGCGAGTCACGGGACACGTCGCCTCGAGTATTATTAATTAAATAAGGAAAATGGAAAAAAAAACAGCTATGTACAACTTGCATATACAGATCTTAGTCTAACTTGTCGGAGACCAATGGGAACCTGATTATCCGTAACTGTCGCCCGAAGTCGCATACTACGCTATCCCTTAATGCTAACATTTGCTTTACGAAAATACAACTATCCTTGTGACCCAGCCTCACTTCCCGTACAGGCTCTCCCGTCCTTACGTCCCAAACTATTAGTGACCCCTGAAAAGTTTATACGACACAAATGTTCATTTCGTATTTTTGGAGCTTGCAACACTGGCACCCTCTAACGTATTAAGAACCGGTTAAGAAGACTTCATCACAATATGTACTTTAAGACTACTAAAGAAAATAATACTCCAGAAATAGATTAAAGTGAGTTTTGAAAAAAGAAAAAAATAGTTCAATTTCATTATCAATTTCAATTTCTACGGGAAGATGGAAAATATTAACATACCTGATTACTGGTGATGAGTAGATGATGCGTTAACATGACTAACTGTAAACTGTACGCCGATCTAGAACATGTAATAGCTGCCACAGCACCATCGTGGGCCTGTATACTGTACATGCATGTTCCTGTGTGCACAGAAAAAAAAAAGATAAGTGAACTAGATGTACATATGGAAATCAGAATTTGAAACCAATTAGGAGAGGTTAGAAAAGACTAGGAAAAGAAGGAGGGTATTGTCGCTTGGTTGGCCAATAGAGATAATTTAGTAAGTAAAACACATACCAGTTAGGAGATCCCAAACACATAACAGTCCATCTTGAGATCCACTACCGGAAGTCATTGGACACATTCTGTCAATGAAGAGACACGAAATGGGCCCACAGTGTCCATGAAGGGTATACAATGGCAACTGATCCTCTAACCTGAAACATAAGATAAAATGGAATGGAAATGACTGTACAGAAGATAGAATAAAATGTGAAAACGGTGGAAAAAAGACGTACCTATATACTTTAAGGGTGTGATCCTGACTACCAGTTAAAACACGACCACCCTCGCTGTCAAGCACAGTTATTGCTTGTTGGTGTACCCTATGAGAACTAATTTTCATACAACGAAGATCTTCTTCTGATTGCATGATATTATTTATATCCATAGGTGAGCCAGCACTTCCTGTTCTAACGTGAGCTAAAAAAAGATGATAGTGTAAAGAAGGGCAGGTCAGAGCAGTAACGCATGACGCCAGTAAACAAACTTACTTCTTCTATACGAAGTGAAACCCCAATCAATTTGTTGTCCTTCGCTGTAGCTCTCTAGTTGCAAGAAGTCAACAGAACCATTTAACTTAGCCGCTATCACTCGGCTACCGACGAATTTAACTGCGGATATCCCCAGCCCCGACCCATCGTCGAATAAACACTGAAATGTTCCATTCATCATTTTCAATTCTATTTAAACACTGATGTCATTAAAATCGTTACTTACTTTAAATCTACCCGTGGTACCTTCCCAAAATTCTAAACTTCCATTTGCACATCCTACTACTATTAGGTTCTCTTGGTAATCCATGCACCAGATAGGAGATATTTGTGAATATTGTATGGTTTTATCTGTGCTTAACGAGGACATGTTATCCACTAAGCCAGATGTAGTTAGTCTTCCACTAGGGATACATAATTGCTCCGTACTTTCTGACGTTTGCAACTCATCTATGGATTTATTGTGCTCTTCCAAAATATGTTTGTACTGATCTCCAAAATCGTAGCCTTGCTCATAATTCTGTTGCGTTGGGGTATGTTTCATGGATGAAAATTTGATATTGATTGCTGACTTCAAGTCAGGAATATCATAAGCATTGTCTAAACTTCTCCGTAAATGTGTTCTTTTTTCTACACTGAATTCGTTCACCTGATACTCAAAGTCTAACGTGTTTCCCATCGAGTGCCTCTTATTAACATTACCACCCTGACCTTTTTGCATGTTACACAATCCTGGGGACGATTTCCTATAATTCACTGCCGAGTATAGGCCAAATGAGTTAGTGCCTTCTATTTCTCCTCTTGAAGGGGGTGAACCACTTTCATAATCGGACATTAATTCATCCATGTCTGTCGTCACTTGACTCGAATTTCTTTTGGGACTACTGAAAAATTGTTTTCTATCTATGTGAGCCAATTGTTCACCGGTTGTTGTATCCCAGACCCTGATGTGGCCAGCTAAACATGTACTAGCAATGGTGTTGCTATCCGTAGCAATACACTCTACTTCTTGCGAGTGCCCCTCGAGGACTAACGGCAATGCCTCCAGAACTAATTGTGTTGCTGAATCATGAGCTTTTTCCGGCTGATGCCAGCTAGCTCTCCATTCAGCGTAGTTCCTCGAACAAATACATCGATAAAGTACCACCATCGTATATGCGACAACAATTATGCTAATAAGGCAAAGTACTGCAGCCAAAAATATTTCCATTGGACTCGAGGGAATAAAGGGCGCATCCGCATTAAAACCTCGACCTTCAGACCTGCTTGGTAATTCTATATCTGTAACAATTACAAGATTTATATAATTCTTATATAGAAGAATTCTGTTACTGTGATTTTAATAGGTATACATACCTGAGAAGTCTAGGGGATCAAGGGCAGCAGTAGCAAGACTGTGCCATTGGAAATGTTGCACATCGTTCGGATTGCTAATCTGTTTCACCAATTGTGGACTTACAGAATGGGATAGTTTGATCGTTGGCAATATAGTTATACGCCCTCCAGCTGCAGATATATTGTACATAGAAAGGACCGAGGACCAATGATAAAGCGATAGACGATTCCAAGGTGGAAAATCCACTGGCTTTAATTTATTTAATTCCTCAGTAACGTTATTCGTTAAATCATCCTAATATGCAATGCAATTTAATAAATTAAAATTTATACTTTAACAGTCACAGATAAATTAATATACTATGACTATGTTACCTGTCTATTTAAATGATCTGGAGCAATGGTAGCAGAAGGCATTGACAATGGTTTCATTGTATTTAATTCAACATAATTATTTAAGGATTGAGGTCTATCTAGAGTATATCCATCAATTTCAGATTCTGTTTTCAATGTTTCACTTAAATGTATAACATGTTCAACAATGCCAGAATTGTAAATGATCATACTGATCCAAACAATCATCCATACCATAAAGGCACGTTGAAATATTCTTGTCCTTGCCCAAAAGTGCACTATACGTAAACGTTTTGGAATTTTGCCCAATGTATGAGTGTTTTGCGTGTTCGGCGCTATCACGTTTGTCGGACCGTTCGACAAGCCATTTAATCTTGGATGTGACTTTGATCGAAAAATGTTTGGCTTTCTGTTCGTTATAGTTGTTGTGAATTGTTGTTTACGCATGGCAGGTATATTTGACATATGGAATTTGGATGTTTCACTGGAGAGCTCTGTCCGTTTAATGTCAATAGCAAGAATTGTCGAGAAAAAGACCATTTGTAGAAAGAAGTCATTAACCAACCCAACAATTGCAAATATACAAAACTCTTGAATGGCTGGTACAAAGGTGAACAATCCAATTGTCAGGATTGTCACTTCTGTAAGTAAGTTTTTAGTAATTGACCAACCCTCTTTGGACAAAGCCTGGGCAACTCGTATTTTTACATCCAACTGTGCTGGAGTGCTCACTACACTTTTGGTTAATACCAAAACATTTTCCAGTCCCACAATAATCACCAAATATGGAAACACTTCTTTTCCACTTAGACTTAATGTTAAACCGAAAAAAAAGCATACACCCATAGTCATAGATAGTGAACCAATCACTGTAACAGTTGCACTAAACGCTATGCCAATCTTTGACTTTACTAGTTCTATTTTCCGTACGGAGAAATAAACATAGAAGAAAAGAGCATTGAAGGTCATCATTAATGGGAATATATCACTGTAATTAAATTCCCCAGGATAAAAGATATGTAATATTTCATCCGTGGGTATACTAGTAGCATTATCACCTTCTGTTTGATGAAGGTGATAATAACTCTTCAATCTATGATGTAATCCTTTAATAAATCTGAAAATATAAACATAATTTTGAATATTCGAAAATAGCTGAATTATTTAGTGACTGAGAATCCTAATTGATTACTCACTCAAGATCATAATCCTTGAAGTAAATAGTTACTGCATATTGCAGTATTCTTTGTCTGAGACGAATTGGATATCTTTTTATTCCAGTTTCTTTAAGATTCATCCCAAACATTATTTCAGCTAAACTAATTTTACCCTTTTGTAGATTCTATAATACACAATGACAAAATTGTACTAGATCTCTCTACTTAAAATAGAATAAATATAAATATTTATTACACCCAAGAGTATATATTATACATTATCTTTATAATGCTCATACCTGATATGAATATATTGTATTTATGAGATTTGTATCTTGTGAGTACAATTCAATGCTTCGTTGCCACAAATTTGCCGGTGAAAGAACAAGACAATTATACTCTGGTAAAACTTCTGGTTTTTTACCATTTCTTTTCTTAACAGCTTCAATGTGCAAGCATACTTGACCAAGTGTTTTTAATCTACAAGATACGTATAATAAAAATAAAAAAATAAAATCTCTAGGTGTTACACACTACACTAGATGCAAGAAACTTACGTTTCTGGATGCTGATAATTTTGTATAATCTCTAAAAGATTGAAAACTTCATAAAGCGGACCACGAAACGCATCCATCAATGTTAACTCTTCTGCCCATGGAATAACCCCAACCCTCAATACCACTTGTTGCACATAAAACAAGTTCTCTGTATTGTTTTCAGGTACAACAGTATGATTGATTATAGTCCTCGGCGCATTGCCGGGCATAGGTAAATTGACCAGAGGATAGCTAAATATGAAACAATAACATTTTTGTGTAGAATATTCTTTATAGAGCCCATACATAATCTTTACAACATACTACTAACCAGCATAATAACATAACCGAGATTGCTAAAGAGATAACAGCAATAGGATGAGACGAGCAAAACAGGCCATGGGCATAGTAGAGCCCAGCCACCCTATCCGGCAGACTACGGAACATTTCACCTTAAGGCTGTTTCACCATCATCTCTCATAGCATGTAGATACATGTATCGCTACCAATTGACCTATCAACAATTGATAAAACTGTACAGTGACCCCGTAGACTAAGTGCTCCATAAAGAGAGAAAATTCTATGGAGCGGGAATCGGGGACACAAATCAAAGACGATTCTAATTGTATTCAATAAATCAGAACGCGTGTCGCGCTGAATACATATTCAAAACATTGCTCGCACGTGTGTGAACAAGTCGCTCGGCGAGGGAGGCCGAGTTATGTATTACAGAAAACAGAAGTGAATCGTCCACGTGTTTTTCCCGGACTTATCGGTGTCATTACACAACTGACACATCATTCAATCCCCCGTATTTTCGTTGGAAACGCGTGAAAGGGGGGGACCGTCGACGCTGCGACGTAATAACTGCGTATTCCTTTGCGTAAATTAATGACGCAACAACACAGGACAATAAAAGAAACGATGATACGGCCCCGATCGAAATTCAAGGGGGGACACACACGCGTCGTAAAGCGACATACAGATATCGGTAGACGCAACTTACGTATGCGTGCACTAATTATATCATTCCTCGGCCAGCCCCTGGTCCCGCTTTATACATTGTGCTGGCCACGAGAGGGACACCCGATGATTTCTTTCCCTCGGATAGACACGGAGGAGACACTGTTAAATGAGCATCGTCACGATTCTTGAAGCACACACTTAACAGAAGATCATCCAGGATAATCGAGATTCCGTCGGTATAGTTAACTAACCGTTACGGTGGACACTGAGACGACGACCGAAAACAGTCTAACGAACCGTGACTGGCACCGCGAGCTAGACGCGCGTAGTCCACAGACGATATTTTGAGGTTAGGTACGACCTTTCGTCGCGCACATTCACGCGTAGATAACACTTCGAATTGATCTGACGACGAAGGACGGCAAGCATAAAACACACACCGATCACTCACACGTGCTCTAAATCGCGCGTCATTAACTCAGGAAAGCGAACGGGCAAGCACACACACACGAGCCGAGCCACACGACGGGCCAGAAACGACTTGGGACGATCGGCCGTAGAGCAACACGAACAAGCCGGCGTAAATTCCCCGAGTGCACTGGCCGGTTTCAATTTAACTCGCGCGGCGACAGTAAGTATACGCGGCGCGGTGCTAATTTATTTTTAAACGGTCCGGACGAGCCTCCGTCTCGGCGACCAATCGCCAAGTTACATTAAGGGGTTACGCCACCTTGACCAGATCAAAAGACACGAGCGGTGGTTTTCGCGAATTATATTTCACATGGAAATCTGTATCTCGGGGTGGGGAAAAAACCTTTTTATCATAAATGAAGTAACTCGTGAAGTTCGATAAACAAAAAAGCACGAAAGCAATGTTTTATGTATATTTATTATTTAGTATTAATAATTGATAGTTCGAACGTGTCATTCCCATTCATATTACGACACGCATGGGTAGACTGTGACGTCAGGGTGCCCCCCCCCCCTCTCTTTTGGTACCTGAAGTTTAAAAATTCGTATTAAAGGTGGTCCCTATTGTGTGACATACAGATGTTCCGAAATTCGATGAATATCATTTCAAAAGTTTAAATGTACATTTAAATGGCTCTATCCACATGAGTTTATTGAATTTACGAATGAGACCTTCTGAAGGACGATTTTAAAAGTGTCCCCTCCCTTCATACCTAAAATTGTTTTTGTCCGATTTTTTCCCGAAACTAACCGTAATTAGTCAGGCGGAATGCTCGATTTCATACGAACGAAGGTACACACGCAGTCAGTTGTCAACGATCTGTGAAGGAATGCAAACGTTTCGTGGCTGAGTTTACGGTCTCGACGAATGTGTACGTCTTTTCTTATCTTTCGTCGTAACTGAATCGCTATGTGCGGTGAACGTTGGAGGAATTGTACGTGGAAAAGTGAGATTGCTGTATTTCACGAGACTTTTCGTGGAAACGTATTTAACGCGTCAGTCCCGCGAATAGTAAACAAGTAGAGCTGGGTATAATAGTTTTTATTTTAAATAAATAATTTAAAATAATTATTCTTATTTCGTCGATGCGTACAGTTTATTGCGAATAAAATGTTTTTTGTTTAAAACATTAATCACTTTTGATATCTGTAGCATTAACTGTAACCTAAAATAACTATTAATTTAAATTCATTATAAATATTAAACCGAGTTTTTCCGCTGTAATATTAACGCTGAACGAAATAATATTTGCAAAGAATGTTTATTTATTTCATTTTTCACTACATTTTCAAATCTAGTTCAAATTTCCCCTAACCCTTTAATAAATGAGTCAATGTGACGATTTTTTTTTGCAATTAATATTTTTAAACGGAGAATTTCAATCAAAATTGTTTTGATAATTTATTATTATTAGTGATTTTAATTTTGTTATTGATTTCAGAAGTCCCAGGAGATAAATAAGAGTAATGGGGTGTGCTATTCGGTACGTGAAAGATTAACGTAGTGCAATTCGAATTCCGTTCGTTCGCCACGGTGCGGAGTCGATTTCGCGTCCCTGTGAATGTTTTTCTTTTATTAGTTGTGTAAATTGTGATTGCACAAAGTATTAAAAAAGTGTTTAACGATGAGTAGCGAACAAAGGAATGCCTTTTCGACAGCAACAGGTCCGAGAATCGAGGTAATCGTCTTTTTTGATCTTAAAAGTTGGAATTTCTCGTTTCGGAATGTCATACACGCTGCGAAAACCATACACATTCTTCTTTCTTTGCTTCTATACGTGGCAATTTGCGTCTGATTTTATGACGCATTAAAATAGAAATACAAAACCGTTGAAAAAATCCTAGCGGCAATTTTAAAATAATCGTTAACGGTTATCGATAGATACGAATAAATTGAATATGATTTGGAGGTTAATATTGTATTTTTATAAAAATATAAATTTGATTGAGTTCGTAAAGAATATATTTCACGTTTGTAATAAATTTTTATTATTATTAGTATTCTCAGAATGGTTGAATTTTGACACAGTTAGAAAAAACGACGTCCATTTAAAGTTCTTTTAAACATTCATTTCGTCGTACATCTGACTGTGTAAGTTCACTGCCGGGTTTAATACGATTATCGACACAATTTGACGTCAATGGAAATGAACAGAATAAAGATGGAAAGAAATGGAAAGGTACAAAAGATTAAATTAGTCACTAATTAACGCGGGGAAAGCCACTCTCGCAGAAACTATGTCACGAAATAACCATCACGTACAATATATTCCGTGCATTCTTTTTTTTTTACACTTCAAGAACGTGTTTCCCTAGAATTACGACAATTTCAAAAATATTCGTAACATTGTATATTTACCTTTTTAAAAACTTCCAATATGCATTACGTAATCCTCGTTTTGTTTAAATTATCAATTCGAGGGATACTGTGATTCCAACCAGAGAAGTAAATGTTATTGACAATATTACATAATAACAATTTCACAAATTTTGAAAGCAAGTTACGTCTAAAAAAAGTTTGAAAATTTTAATTTGAAGTTCCATTTTTGAAATTTCGAATTTCGTTTCAAATTGCAGTTGAAATCATATTTGTTTCTTGAAATTCCTATAATTTCATAAATAAATAATTGTCGTAAGAATTCTATAGATTCCAAATCGATTATAATTGCAACAGCAAAATCTACGGCACTGAACGAGAAAATTTATTGGCCGCGTAAAAGAGCTATTAATAATTCGCGTGCACTAGCGTGACCGTCAGTGTGTGTTCATGCTGACAAAAGATAAGCAAATTGACACGTAACACGTAGTAGATCGTTACAATTTTGCGTAGATCGCCAGATACTATTAATCGTTTGGTTACATCTGGCACCAGGTTGCCAATTAACATGATCAAATAATTACATTGAGGGGGGGGGGCATGAAGCCGTGAATCCATTGGATCGATGTGTACACTCGATCTTGGACATTCGATCCTTTAAGGCGATATTCTATCCAGGATCGAGAAATTCGATCTCTATCCGCAGATCGTTGTAAAATTCTGCAATCGTCATGCAAATTGTATTCTGTTAACGCAAAAGTCTTTTTCCTCCTTTCGACTAGTCATTTTGTTTTATTAAGAAACTGGTATACTGAATGAGACATAAATGATGACAAATTGCTGGTAAGGTCAATTGAATCATTGGAAAAATCATTGACACAATCTCGAAAGCAAATTATTAATCTAGATTTATTCAAAGTCGAACTTTATTTTCAAAGCTTATTGAGATTTATGCGATTGCTAGATTAACAATGTTGAAAACCTTGTAGTCTGTTTACCATTCTTAGATTGTAACTGTTGTATCTTTTAGTATTTTTCCTATTCTTGAACTCTTCAGGGAGTCTTGGTAATCTTTGATTAGAGAGAGGTCTTTGACCTTCTTCATAGCATACTGAAAGACTACAATTTATAACATAATTATCCATAAACTTAATTCTGAATCTGATTTTCTTTCACTGTTCAGATTCTTTGGAGATTTGTATAACTACTAGATTTCTAATTTCACTATCATTTTTCAATGATAATTTCTGACACCTTCTAACCTGATCTCAAGAGTAGATCATTTAGTGTTCTTATATTTATATTACTCCCGTGGAGAAGAACCATAGATTTTTAATCAGTAGACATTTAAAGTTGTATGTAATCACTTGTAACCTGTTACTGAAGTCCAGATTTCATAGAGATTTCCATAATCTCTGGAAACAATCTTGTAACCTACCTAATACCCTTTCTATCACCAGATTCTTCAGAAGTGAAAGTTCTTGTTGATGTTATTCAAATGTTGAAACTGTTATTTTTGGATATTTTATAGCCTTCACACACTATTATTACCATTCAAAGATTTATTCCCTTCCGGGAACCTTGACATAAAACTGTTGTTGCCAATGTCCATAATTTTTTTTTCCACCTTTTTGAGACTTTTTGCCATTGTAGCAGGAGCACATATACTATCTTGAAGTATTCCATAACTGTG